AATATCGCCGCCACCGCCACCGCCTCCGCCCTCGGCGGCAGTATCGAGGACCACGACCCTTTGACCAATACTCGAAGAGGTGCCGACAGGTGTGCCCGTCCAAAAGGAACTGCCCACCCAGGCCTCGGTAGTAGTGAACGTGGTCGACCAAAAGGAGACCTGCTTATAGCATATGTAGTCGCCGGGGCGGCTGAGTCGACCACAACGCGGCCCGGCTTGTGCCATCGGCGACGTTGGATCATCGATCGATCGACTATCCACGTGACGACACAACAATGTAGATTCGTTTAGTAAAATACAGAACGAACGTGGACAAGTTGCGACGTGTGCCAAAAAACCCGGTCCATCGGTATGGATCATCTAGAACGAGAGATCGTGTCGAGGACCATGTTACCAATACACGAACAGAGACGTTGATCGAGATGGAACGCGATAGAGATACGTCGACCATTTTACAAAAAGATAAAAAACGAACGGTGGACAGTGGACGAAGTTCGCTCGAAACAGCAAATTAAATTATCGTGCTGATTGCAAATGAGAGATCGATCGTAAAACCAGGTGTTTGATACGAATAATCCGTATTGTTCGATGCCGGAGGTGGATGCTCCTCGAGCGGACGTTAATAAAACAGGATCGATTGCACGGCGATCGAAAGGCGTCACCGTCCAAACGACCGCGTTCCATCGACCTGACGAAGCTGAATAGCAAATGAAACACCGTGTGCAACGCCAATCAATCGGGTGAGCGAATCGTTCGCTACTCGAGGCGAGGACTTTCGAGGCTGGGGAAAGGGAGGGTCGAATAGTGGTTAAACGGCCGATTCAATTGCCCGGACTGCCCGACGCGATGGGTTCGGGCCGATTTCCAAGCTAAACATATCGATAATGGAGCCAGAAACGAGGTCGAGAACTCGGGCGATGGGTTCTCTTTTGGCACGCTGAAGAAGTAGCCTCGTACGCGGCCAGTGATGGAAAAGAACCATGTTACTATCGATCAACGACCACGATACGTGTGATTAGACTCGGACCAAAACTCATAGTGATCACTGCCAGCAGCTAGCCTAACATAGTCAAACGATCTAGTACGACGTGAACAAAGAGGAAGCTTTAATCCGGCCGCGTGTTTATTTGAATTCACGGCCTAAAACTTGATCCTTGCGTTCACCTTCGCGAAAGATCGATTCTTGAGAGTCGACGTGACCAACGAAGATTTTTCGATTCGGAAGAACTCGATCGCAATGTTACACGAAACATGCACAATGAAGTACTATTTAAGAAGAACGGAACGAAGAATATACGTGGGATACGTCACAACGTTTCGAGAGCAGGATTTAGATAAACGACGTGTTTACGAACGAAGATTAATGGCCTAGGACGGGTGTACTGTCGTCATCTTTTCGACCAAACGACCAAGACGATCACAGATAACTAAGAAGAACGAAGATGAATTAAAATTTATCGTCTTATAGACAATTAGAAAAAAAAGGAAAAAAACAACTAGAGCAGCCTCGGCCGTTTCCTGCGAGAAGCGAGACGAATCGGAGGACGTAGTACAAAATTTCCAAAGCGTTACCTGAGCGTTTACGATTTTGCATCCTGACCTTTGTTTCCGCGCCGTTGTGTCCGCGAGCACAGTCGCCAACGATGGACTAACGACAACTTTGCGAGTTCTATTGCGCCGCGAAATAGAATTTTTCACGCGTTTTATACAACGGAAGGAAGGACGAGGAACAGATTCTGCGAATGAATTTCTCGGCGTGCCAGGCAGCCTCGAAAGATCGAATACAGGGATCGATCCTCGCTGTTACATGCATCGTAGGAACATATTGTAGAAAACGGACCAGAACATCCTGTCGACGAAGCAAGCGTGCTTGGAGAAATAGTTCGTTGATTCGATGGCGTTCTGTATTATAATAGACACGGTTGTACATGATCGAATTTGTTCAGCGATTGGTGATTCACGATAGAACATACTTTTACCGGACGATTGTATAAAGGAAAAGATCACACGTATGGACGCGTACACGAGCACGTTGGTACGCGGTGTACGCGCGCATACCCGCATCTTAAATTTAGTTTACATGTAATGCCATAGGTAAGTGCGTAGCCACGTAAGAGACCTAGTCATATTTTGACACGATCGACAATTTATTATCGAGACGATACGATACGTTGTACAGTGACCGTTTTTTCACGAAATTCGAACAACTGACGCCGTTATCGAGAAGCGTATTCGATGGCGTTTTTAGTGTTGCGCACCGCGTCGTATACATACAAACAAACACAAACATACAAATAGATACACACAAACACATACGTATTGTGAATATACAAAAGGAACTATGTTTGTTGAAAGAAAAAGAGAAATGAACGTCGTTCGACGGTTTTATTAAAGCGTTATTAACGATATCAAAGGGAAGGGGATGTAAGGGTGTATGATTGAGCGCATGTGATAAGAAACAGGAGCGAATCGTGCCAAAAAAAAGGATAATCCATACTGATGTCATGGATGACAAGCAGCGACGATGATTTTTAAGTTACGTCAGACTATCGATCGCGTGACGTTGCGTAATTCGATAACGAGACGACCGATGCGACCACAAATTTCCTCGCGAACGTTTTCAAACGAAAACAGCGACGAATATTGTGATTGCGCTGCCGAAAAATAAGTATATTCTCATTTGCATATATAATTTTAATGGGGGCGTAATTGAAAGTCGTGGATATTAATCAACGCATTTGCCGAAACTTTATCACGTCGCTGATGAAGAGTTCACTTTGTCGGAAGCGAATGAAAAGACACGGCAAGAAATTTTCAATGGTTCCCGAAATAATCGAGTCTCGGGTATGGGATGCTCGCGTAATTGCCTTCGGAGGAACACTAATCCCAGCCTGCTGATAAATGAATTCTTCGTCCGCGTCGATTAATTAAGAGACTCACCCTCGTCAAAGTCGAGACACGTGGGTTTATCGAACCGGCGTTCGTTCTTCTTTGTCTGTTCTCGTGTCTCTCATTTCGGCTCATTCGTAGGTCGCGATCGGAATTTCGATTTGCCTACGCCGGAAGCGCATAAATTGCGGGCACGATTCGTTCTCGAAGAGAGGGCTGACTAGAAATCATCGTGATTGCGATATTTCGATGAAATAAAATTGAAGAGCGGAAGCGTTTGCGGAGATGAGGGAGATATTATTGCGACGAATATTACGTTGCCGGGAGGGAATGAATCGAAGCGTGAGGTGTTGGTTGGGAGAGTGTTCAACAGTTCATAACTACGTACTTGTCGCGTCATCACTGGTGTGCCACTATTCAATAAATAAATTTTATTTACTTAATCGATCTAGACATTTCTACATTTGGCGTAGTAATTGGAAATACATCGACTTTCTTTTTGCGATGGAGGCTCTGAGAGCTCGAAAAGGAAATTTCATTTCGTCGATCAACGATTGCAAGAGTTTCTCCTCTCTCGATTCTCAGCTCCTCGATCGAGTGAATGTGATACGCAGTGAATCGTCAACTTAAACATATCTCTCCGAAATAAGACAGACAATTAAATGTTGTTATATACATGTTTTACTGAATATTATCACTTTTTCTATCTCCGTGCAAAATTCATCCATTCTCAGTCAAACCACGATTAAAACGATCCCATGTCCCAAATCCTCGTGAAACGAATTCCACCTATCACTCGCAAGTTTTACAAGCAATTCTTGTATGTACCTTTCCCTTGATACCTTCCTTTCTTTCGTAGCCGAGCATTCGACGAAAACGATAATAAACGACTGGAGCAATGAACAGCGATTTCGTTTCTCTGCTAACAAATTCATCGATTCCATCGGAACCAGGACAGAAGGCTTACAGAGGGACACAGCCATGTCATTGTGGACAAAATGACAAGTGAACCGATAGTTCATCAATCATCATCGCTTATTCCTCGATACATATTCAGATCGATCCTACGTTCCTTTGGCCAGCGTAATTTCGTTTACCACCACCGCTACGTCAATTATGCAAATCTCATTTCCTGCTCGGGACTATCAAGCCAGCCTATCGATGTCTCTCGAATATCACCGTCTTCCCACTTAATAGCGTGTTCGTTGACTTCAATCACCACTGAGCCAATACGAGTTTCCATCTCGTACATCGAATCATGGAAATTAATGAGAATCGTTTCCAGGGAAAGTTTCGTTCAGTGTCGAAACGTTTATTGGTCAAACAACACTTGCGGCTTTATTTAATTTCGTGTCACGTAAATTTCGATTATAATTAAGTGAATTCAAAGTGCAATTTAGGATTGAATTTGAAGACCGTGTTTGACAATAGTGCGTTTCATAAATAATTTCAATTTGCTAAATGCTGCATTAAAATTAATTATTCTTTATTACTATTCAAGCACATTGATTATCAACGCTTTAATTTGTATTTCCATGTGACTTATATTACCATTATCATTAATCAAGAATTGGTTTTCTGCCTTTATACGAAGTAAAAGATTTAAATGATATAACAAGATACATCAAGAACGCTTTACTTCCGTCAACTACGTCGAAATATCATTTCTACCAATGGAATTGGCCCGAGATTGTTCGAATATGCTCTCTTCTATTTATAGCGTTTCCGACTGTTCGCTCCTTCAGGATCTCAGGCATGGAACTAAATTGTCACGGCGAAGTGGCTGGCTTCCATCGCCCCATATTGAAAATTGCATTCATTTAACCGCGCCGCGTCAAAGGGAGCCCGTTAAAATCTGGGCCATTCGTCGTTCCTTGCGGAGGGCAAAAAGATGAAAAGGGAGAGAATCGTCGAAAGAGCGGCCTGCCGGAAAAGGAATAAGAAACGCCGTCGGTTATCGAGCCTCAGCCGGTTCCCAATCGACGCGTACTCGTTAATTCTTGCGATATCGTTACGCCATAAAATGAATCTTCTCCCCTTTCCATCCTTTCCTGCCGCTTCTTCGATCGTTAATGGGAATACGAACAAGTCGTCGAACGTTCTGCTTCGTCGTGAATGAAGAACACGAGGTCTTGTTATCCACGATGAAAGAAGAAACGCTGAATGGATCTTACGGTGGAATTTTGGAGCAGTAAGTTTCTAGTAGGACAGAATAAATAGAGACAGATAGAGGACAAGACAAAATCAATCGCGCGTTCTTTTGATTAGCGACACGTTGCGACGTAAAGACCAGAAGACAAAATGTCTCGATTTTTAGGAACCTTCCTTTTGACAGAATTTCCCCATTTTCCTTCAATCGTTCTTTGTCACGTTTCGAAACGATAAAGCAAATTGAAAGCTCGTCTAATATCCCGATGCTTCAAAGTATACGTTACGATCTTCATCTACGATCTTCTGTGTCCGTTCGTTTGGGTGACTCGTTAGTAAATTACAAGGAGAAACGTGTTATTTAGCACGACGAATCGATCTTTCGCGTCTAATTTGCGAATAATGGAACGAAGGGAGTGGAATTGGTCTAAAAACGGTTGAAAAATTGGACGTAAGGCAGATGCTTGTTAACGTAACGACAACAGCCGTTCGTATCGAACGATTATTTCTTAATAATTCATCTTCGAGTAGGGGTGGTTTAATATATAACTCGTTAACGTTTAACGGACGAAAGAGGAGCGACGAGGCGAGAAGAAAAATAAGAAATAAGGAGACGGAAGATCCTGGGAATCGAACGATTCGCTACACCATTCGTGTTCCGTCATTCTTTACGATTAGATTATAACGAGTGATTTATTATCGCTAAACTGGCACGTAAGTACTCCTCGATATCCATACATTTTAAGAAACAAGAATATCAGATTATTACGAAAAGGTATAATAACCTGTGTCAGTAACTTTTTTCAATGAATTTCTGTCATCGTTAACAGCTCGATGATCAGCCATAAAATCGGAGCTTCGAAAGTATAATTTACAGTTTTACATGGACCAATTTTACGTCCAATCTTACTATATCGCTTCGTTCAAGTATATCCATAACGCCATTGAATTCCCGTTAGTGAATCGAGAATGTGAAATCTATTTTCTCGTTTGTTAAGCGCGAAAAGAACGGACAGGAATTCTCATCGAGGATTCCCGTGGAAAGCTTCTTTCGAGACGTTTAATCAGACTGGACGGGTAAAAGTTTCGTCCCTGGGGATTCGACCATTCTCGGCAACGTTGTGGTAATGAACAGAAACGAGACGGAGATAATACGCGAGGAAAATGCCGGCTGATTAAATTTAAAGATTCCCCAAGGGTGGCGTGGGAACTTTCGATTTGCATGTTGATTGACAAACGCAGTCTCTCGTTGGCCTCGTGATGGATCTGCACGGGTTGTGGTGACAGTTCCAGCAGCACCGTTTGGCCATGGATTGATGGAATTATCGATAAAAACGACAAAGACCGAAAGAGCAATCCCTGCCTTTTGCCTTCTGTATCGTTAAAAGTAAGAAAGTCGAATTGATTCCGGTTATTCGGCGATTTAATCAGACGTCTCTTAATGAAAGGGGAATACGATGTCAACGGGAATGAATAGGTAAAGTGATTAAAAACTTCAACGTCACATAACTTCAAACAATCTTATAATTATAAGAGTTGGTAGTAATTTAATTGTTCCTTCCAGTAACGTTAATTTCCGCGTAATTAAAACCTAAATACGGTCGAGTTGCATCTTTATTTTCATTCTATTTGCACTTCGTTGCCACTTTATCGAATTACGATGTTGTCGAGTAGAAGAATCAAATGGCAGGTTCGTTTCACGTGGCAACGAACTCGAAACAAACCGATAACCAACAACCAAAACGAAAAGCAATGGTTTTCGAGTCATGTTTCACCCCGATCGTTCCTCATTCCAACCTTAACAGATAGGTCTCACTTAACCTGCTTATCTCTGACCGAGTCCATTGCGAAATGTAATGTATCTATGTTTCTTTGAACGCGCACTACCTGCCGTTGGTCAAGTAAATCGAGCGTAACGTAACGCCCTGAGTTTTTACGTGGGTCGTTATCTCTCTGGCATTTACCCCACGAGACTATCGCCCTTTTTTCGGCGTCACCAGGAAGGAAAGCGGAGAGTAAAGAAGTCTCAATCGTACGAAATGAGCGAAACGTTTAAGGAGTGATTCTTGGTCTGCTGTGTCTGTAGGCTACTATCGACGTGTACTTGGAAGAAACGGCACGCTTCTACAGCTTTAATCTTTGCTGAAGACAAGTGGTAGCCGATGAACTCTTTCCCGCTGCTCTGGTCGCAACTGGTAATCGTGACTTTCCGGAAGACTGCCGCGTTATCGCCTGGTAAAATACGAGGAACGACTGGAGTCATTGGTCAGAAGTTCTTCTTATCGTGAACATGTCGATGTTAAATATTCGTCGATCATTATTATCAGGTCTATGCTCGGATATAAGACGATCCACGACACCTTATGAATTTTGATACAAATAAAATAAAGAAATAAATTATTTTTAAAATAAATAGGCCAGATATTCTAAAAATAAATGCGCCAATCATTCTAGAAATAAATGGGCCAATAATTCTAAAAAGCAATATTTTAAAATATTGTGCAAAGGAAGCTGCAATAGGAATTTCCTGGAAACGTTGAAGGCTTATCTTTTCGGCGCAAAGAACAACTTCTAAAGTAGTAGGGAATTCGTCGTTGTCTCAGAGCGACGTTTCGCCTTCCAACCTTTTTGTAACGATTCAAGTTTCGTCAGGCACAGTTTGCGTGGTTGAGTAACGAGTGGAAATTCTCTGGCACGACGAAACGCATGGAAAAGTTTGCAACGGCATCGCTGAATATTCCATTATCGGCACGCAAAGCTCGAAACGTTTCTAGAGTAGGAAACCATCGATATTTCTAGAGATTCGGATCTTGAAAACGAGTAATGAGATATCAACGTCACGAACAGTCGGCAGCTTCTTTAAAAGTCTATGTTGCGAATCATGGTATAGCTTCGCCTATTCACATCAACCATCAGCGAAAGCTCGAGGAATTCGCAATTAAATTTCTAAAAGTAGCTTTGTAAAAAGCGTCTTGATATTAAGCTTTGAAGCGAAGTTACGTTGAATTTTCTCTCCCTCCTTAATATTTCTACAAATTCCGCGTCATTAATCTCACTGTTTACTTAATTTAAAATTTAGAAAATTTATTATCTAATCTATCCCTAAAACGTTATCTTTTCTATCGCCTGTAGAAGCCTGGATCGATAAGAGTGAATTATCATCCTGAAGATCATAAATTTACATTGTAGCGTTATGAAAGATAAGCGTCTGAGGTTCCATTATTGTAAAGGTATGTACCTAGCATCTCAGGAAGGTACGTGTACACTTAAGTACATGACCAATAGGCTAAGCATAAATCAACGATCCTCCAAGACATGAGAAGACTAGTGTTCTGAAATTAATTACTATACGCTAGTGCATCACCTTGTATTTATAGTCGTATATTTATGACACTGTTTTCAGGTGATAAATATTGATAAAGCAAACAATAATGCATTGACTAAGTACAGGACATAACATTGTATGAAACTTCATGTTTCACGTTCTGAAATACCGATCTTGAGAAGAATGAGAGTATTTCTTACGCCCTCTGCGATTTACTACGGCGAATATAGGAATTATATCACATTATATCAATATCCAGCAATGGTAAAATGCCGTAAGATTCTTTTATCAACCATTGTAAACTAAGATCTCGCAACTTTACTTATCATGCAACGATAAAAGTCGATTTTCCTACATTATATTTTCTACAAACTTAATATTTTTACAATATTTTTTCCTTTTAAACGATACAAATATAAAAGTTGCAAATTCAATCATTCACTAAATGCAAAACGCTGTCTCTAGTGATGCCGATTTCCCTTAAAGTTGTCCCTAGATGATCCAATCTTCTCGGTGAATAACTGAGAATATAAAAATATAAATAAACATATATATATATATATATATATATATATATATATTCTGAAATTTAGAATTCTCGAAGGGAATAAAATTCTAGGACGAAAATGCTGGACAAATCTTTACCCGCTGAGAACAATTTTATATCCTCGAGGGACAGTTCTTGCCATGGTTCTATCTAACAATTGATAAAGTCGAGCTATCGGTTCGTCGGCAGACACGTGTACCAGATAAACAGTACCGCCGTTCAAAGACCTGACTTTCAATCGGAATTCGCCTGGTTTTCCAGACGGTTCATTGATCTGATGCAGAATAGGAGGCTGAAAGGATTAAAAATCCATCAGAAAGAATCACTATTTTAGTCACCCGATTACAAAAGAATTATATTCTTACTGCATTCCTTCCTGCATTCTTCCTAACTGGTGCAGCAGACCTTGGAGCACGTTGATTTTTTCTAGCCGTACTTTGCTGATGCACTTGAGAAAGCGAAAATTGCGAAGTATCGGCGTTCACCTTCGGTGCTGACCTCGACGTAATGGAAAATCGGGAATTTGGTAGGCTGGCGGATCTTGATCGTTGCCTGAGAATCTCATCCGCGTTATCCAATCGACTAAATGAAAGATAACGTTGTAAAAATAGACTGATATTGATCAAAGTTATTACATGATTTAGCAATTAATTTTTACTTTGGCGATAATTTAGACGCTCTATCGGTGGAACTGTGATAACATCTACCAGAGCTTGGAAATCTCATAATACCTTTGGATTTTAAAGGGATCTCCCGAGCCGAGGTATCGAAGTCTCCATTTTTAGACGTGTCACGCTTACGAAATATAATTGTAAGTGAACCTTATGAACGTAGGAGGTTCGTTGATTCGTGAAAGAGATTCATGAAAAATTACTTTTTCTCTTCGAGTCGATTTCTTTTCGCCCAAACCGAGCTCCGCGTTAATATGCGACTGTAAATGAGTGTCGGAGCAGATATTGTTGTGAGATGCCAAAATTTGGGAACGAAGAACATACATCTCTAAAGGAGGAGCTTCTGAGGGAGTTTTTGGTTTCATGGATCTATCAACGAGTTTTCTATACAATCGTAAATCAATAGAAGATTATATATTTAGATTTAACCGAATCTTTATACCTAGCTGTGGCAGGCGTCAGTTCCCTAAAAAGATCAAAATTATATAGACTATCCTTCTCTCTCGTAAAGGTACCACGACGAGCCGATTTCTGATTATTAGGAAATCTACGAGTGGAAGGTCTAGATGACATCGATGTATTATCAGCCAATTCTTTTCCCAATCGATAACCTTGGCCAGGAAAATCGGAGTTCAAGAATACTTGATTTCTCTGATCCTCTACCTAACAGAATACTCCTCAAAGTAACGCATTCCTTTTTTCTCAATAGAAATTAAAATTGAAATTTCACCTTGAATGGTACACCTTCTGGATAAGTTTCTTGCAACTCAGAAGGGAAATAGCCGTCCAAGATATCTCGTAGAAACGATATCGCGGTTGGATCGTTGTAGGATCGTAATGGGCCATCTTGAACTATCATTCCATTTTTGTAGAATTTTAATGACATGCAAGATGCGGTCTTTAAACAATTAAGAGACATATTATATTATTAAACTCCATCTTGATAATACACGTTATATGTATTTAATTCTTAAATTATCACCAGAAAAACAAACGCTAAGAAATCGCGACTGACTCATAACAGCTGCAAGCCAGAATTGCACCGTAATTATTTACCGAGCTCGTAACTCATATTCGATATTGTTATTCCGCACAGGTAACCGGTTTTATCGATTAACATCAGCTTTCTGTGTTACATTAGAATATGTGTAGTTTACATCCGGACCAAAGAATCGACGGTGAAAATTGATACCGACGTTACGAGTGCAAATATCGATGTAACATGCCTATTAGCGTCTCACAGAATGTTTAAAGGGAAAAACGATCACGTAACCCTGTTTTATGAGAACATGTAATATAAAACAGGATAGGAATTCATCTATCTTACCATTCCTGGCAAATTATATAAATATCTAGAATATACGTGTATGTACGTGTATATATATACCTTCTTGTTTTATACTTTATAAATTGTGGGAACTTCAAAAATACAAGATAGGAAAAAAATAGAATTCAAGGAAGATTCACGTTTAACTCGTCGTAAATTATTTTGTACAAGATAAATATTGCCGTGTGAAAATACTGCATAAATAAATATTTACTTTGAAGGTGGCCCCGTTTCCTCTTTCGTTATGCTGCACGTGAACTTCACCCTTCCCAGCGGCCAGGTTCAGCTGGTCAATATTCGCGATAATCTGCTCGTAACAAGTCTCGATGGTGTTGCTAAAAGGCACGGCTAACTGATCATTAATTCGATCGGGTGCCGATCGCTTGAAATAGTAACGTATACTCGATTTACTTGGCTATCGTTTCAGGATGCTTCGAACCGTTCGTATTGCCGACCCAGACCAGACCATAATCGGCCAAGAATTTCTGTACGAGAATGAAAACACGATGACGTTGAAAGAAATAAGAACGCAACTCTGACAATAAAATGTTTTACGTGCACATATAATTAACCTCCATTTCGTAAATTCTTTGTTCGAGCATTAAACATCTTCTGTAGAGATATTCCGAATGATCGGCTTGCACGCGCCGCTGCTGCTGTTCCTTCTTTCGTAGTGTTTCTTGATTCTTGCTCTTTGTCTCCCACTCCTTGACCTGTAACAATTTGTAAATCGTCATGAAAATGAAAGGACGACAACAACGAATAAAGGAAACAGTGAAGAACCTTCCGTTTCAATCGGGAAATTTCCTGGTCCTTTAACTTTATTTGCTCTTCGCTTCTCTTTAAGTTAGACTGCACTTTCTGCACCTGATTTTCGACCTTGTATAACTGCTTCGTTAATGTATCGATGAATTCGCTCTCTGGGACAATTAGTTTCTACGGTTAGTCAAAAGTTAGAAACATTCGACCTCGAAGCTAGAAACTTGTTTCTATCTTCGACAGGTTAGCAATGACGCGTCAATAACGAATGTCTGCGGATCAGGATAGAATTTCCGATCGCAATTTCCACGACCAATTAAGTTTTTAATTAATCCAACAAAGAGCACGTGATTAGATGAATGAATACGATGATACACGCAACCAGTCACATATCAACGCCAAACGAGACCAGCGTTTTTATTTTCCTCGCGTGCATTTAATTATCTCTGTTTGTAACGAATTACCTTCTTGAATTACGGAGTTTTCCGGTACGTAGATGTTCGTTGGTCTAGCGTGACAATTCCAAAACTTTCTGCCACTGAATGCTGTGTTGGAGGTCTAAAATGACGCGTAAAATAGGCCAGGGAAATTAAAGTTGCACGATGCCATTGAATAATGAAGGATATCGATGGTTGTGTAATTACCGTTCTATCGATTCTTCTGTTGATATGATTAATGTCTTTCTGACGATCCCTAGACGCCAGGATACTTGCGTTTTCTAACGACGCACTCTGCAGTCGATCTATACATTCATCGTCGTCGACTATGTAAGTTGCGGTCGAGGGAATTCGTTTTAGCCTACAAATAGGTAAGTAAAATGTAAAGACTTAACCTAGTAGAGGCTTTTGTCTACTCGTTAAAATTATATTTATATCGCGTTAGAATTTTTCTTCTTCGATAAAAGACGGGAATATCATGAAGCATATTTCTTTAACTACGTTCGTAATTGTACAATGTTGAAAATACTTGTGATGCGAAGTAGTAGTCGGAGAGCACTTTGCAGGTTTTTTTCGTGGATGGGCGAAATTGTTCGATTGGCTCATCGTGTATGTGACGACATTTAGAACGAGTTTGTCATCATTCACATTGGAAATTTTTATAACGAATTTTCCGAAAGCGATTTCGGATGTTGTATTTAAAGTACACGAGGTGCAGGGAGGGATCGATCGTGAACTCCGCGGTTGGTGACAGTTTATGATCGAACGAACGATCGATGTGAAGTTAACGTCAACCACTGAAGCGTATCTACCACACACTTTGAATATTTTATTACTGCAAAATTCAGTACGCTGGATGACCTCGTTCGGGGAATTTTAATTAATGGTAATGGTTATAGTTTATGTGGAATAAAAATCCCTGGAATCCGCCATTAGAAAATACAGGCTATAAAACAGGAAAAACAGAGAACTCTCGATTAGTCAAGGTGAATCGATCAGTCGATAAATCTTCTGAAATAGTTCGAAGCAGTGAAAGTACGAGACCTTCGTGTCAAACAGACTTTGACCTATTTAATGTAAATATACGAATAATTAATTCATTTCTGTGTGAACAAAGAAAAATTCATTATCATAACACTATTATAGTTTTTTTGGTGAATTCATTAGCGTACAAAAGATTGCACAATACAAGTAAACATTTATTCTCACAGTTGTCCCACATTACATAGCATAAATTTTTGCAATATCATATCGAGTGTTAACTGTCTTAACTACACTTTCTATTATCTATCAACTATTTCTATTAATTACTTATATCTAAAATTTAAAGTCAAACTTTAAAAAATTGTTATTAAGTTTCATTTTACCCTAACGATTTTCCACATTAACACATTCGCTACTAGCAACTGTATAGAAATATTAAGGTAGGAAATCGTAAGATAAGAATTTGGATAATTTGTTTTCAATTATCATACTTCGTATCGCTTATTATTATTAATTCAATACCTTTTTCCCTCCTTTTCTTTGAGTTATTAATACCCAGTCATAATTTAAGCACGAAAAAAATATTACGTCATCGATCGTTAGATGACAGAATGAAATTTCATTTTCAACCTTGTTCGCTCAAACACCTCCGCATCTACGTCATTCGGGCACAAAATCGATGATGGACGTTTCGTGATTCGATTTGGAGCAATAATAGCAAAGAAGAGAACACAGCGCCGTGTGGCGACGACGCAACGGTTTCAAATCGATCGCTGCGCGAGCGTATTCGCGCCTGCGTCACGTGATCATTACGCCTCGGTACAACGAGCTTTCCAGAAACGCCGTATCGTTGTCGCCGTGATTCTATGCTGTGTAGGTGAACGTGTGTTTCGTGTGTTCCGTTCGAATGTCAGTTCCAAGTTCTTGTGTTCACGATCTCTTCTTCCACCAAAGAAATGTTGGTGAATGAGTGAAGCTTGGCGGAACGTCCGCTCTCGGTTAAAAATGTGAATCAGAACGAGGATCGCGGAACTCAACAACTCTTGGCCGGAAGTAAACCTGACCGGGGTGAGTTACTATCACGATCGATTATTTTCTTTCCCCTATTCTCCTTTCTGACTACGAAGGCCACGGCCACGTGCCGCATCCGTTCCGAGAACACCGTTCTCGTACGGACATAACCTCGAAATCACGGGCAAGCGTCAATACGACGAGGTTAGAATCCGTCGAACTATTGACACAGTAGTTATATTTCGAGAACTTTTATTTATATCAAATGATTAGTAGATGAAACGAAATTAGTTCCATGGTCGTCGATATCTTGGATGATGTAACCTGCGGCACCTTCGTAACAGACTAATTACGTGTCAATCGTCTTATGACTGCTGCGTTGATTATTGAGATTACCGGTCTTGCTGTATACACGATATTCTCGAATGTTTCAGTACCTATAAATTGTTCATTATGTACGTATGTATATTATTGAAACATAGGTGTTTATTTATAACTAGACAGAATGTTCCACAATCTTAATCCCAGTTTGTATACATTTATAATTCCTAATCCTTCATTTTTTTTTGCAGCATGAAATCCCTTACGTCAGTTACAGGAACGAGATAACTGTGTGTGAAATTAACTAGGCAAGAGAATTTGAAGATCGTGTTCCTGTAATGTTTCAATAATACAAGCTCCATGTTGCATGTGTGCGTGTTTACTTTCCGTCACTTAGATAAGCAAATAGACATGTTGCTTTCTGGAAACCGATAAATCGGAGAATTGAGGTCAGTCAATAATGTCACGAGAACTAGTCACATGTCTAATTTGATGCCGCGCCGGCCGGTTCAAGAATTTCCATGGAGCGAATTGTGCGACCCGTCTTACTCATACAGCTTAATAGGGTCAACTAAGAAATAATTAAGCTTAATGCGACCGAGAACAAACTTTAGCGTATAAATATTTCTTCCTCCTCGTGCAATAATCGGGTTTGGTTTTCAAACAGATATTTAATTGATAAAGTTGAGGAACAATCCTATCCTTTTCCCTCTTCACGCTTTTTTATCATCGATAATTTTTTACAGTTGCTTTTTTATTGCGACAAATTTTGTTAGTTATGAAGCGCTGTGTTTCTAAAGCTTCTATTGATCCAGATCAATTATGGAAAACAGAAATATGTTAATAGAAGATAGAAAAGTTTTAAGGATAACGTGCAGCTATAGACTTAGTGAAAATAAATATTATTGTTACATCAACGAATATTTACACAAACACCCTTACTATGTAGTGTTTGATAATAAATATATTACAGCATCTATAAAATGCTAACAGTGCATTTCTTATTAACCGTATGTCGTTTGGCGATTATAATCGATTTGGCGCATAAAGTTTCTGATGACATGGCGCATATGAAATGAAACATCGAGTGACACCTGTTGTACATAATGATCTATCCAACGCAGAAAGCAAACGAATAGCACGCCTTCCACGTAGTCGGTTGGTTAGTTAATCGATCGGCGAAAATTGACCCGCTCCATAGTGACGACCTTGCGATTTCACGAACACCGCTCGTGGCGTTCAAGTATGGCCGAAAAAGAACATTTTTCATCATGTCGATATCTCGAAAAATTCAACGGTCGTGTTCCCTCCTTTTTCTTATGTTATCGTACCATTGATAACTTATTAGGAAACAGAATAAGTTTTATATATCAAATATTTGAAAAGGTTCTGTCATAGTATAAATAAATAAATAAATATATATATATATATATATATATATATATATATACGCATATTATATAATCGCAACGTTTCCTAATGCTTGATCTACGCCTCTACTCTTTTACCTTCATTTTCAACATTGTTATTTTTCAAGCATTTCCATATCGGAAGACTCATGCATGCAAAATACATTTGAACAAAATCACATTCTCTTCGCTTTGTTAATCGCGTGTTTAGTTCATGCACGTTGCCACAATACACACGGGCCTTTCAATTTCAAATTGTTCCAGTTCGAAAGCGAAACACGTGTTCGTTTTACAAAATTAGGAACGGTCGCTGCGACGAAGGCATGGATACAATTCTATGTCAAACCAACTGATTTACTGACTACTCTCTTCATGTTTCATATATACTAACTACCTTCTTTATACTTTACGTGTGTAATTTCGACGAATCGCGGCCGTGCGTTATTGTACGTCTAGTGATTCTCTAAACGCAAAAGGACTCGGGACAAGATCGGCCCCACGATGCGCGAGTGGCGACAAATTTCATCAAGTTTCATAATGAAAAGTAATAAGTAGCTGGAATGGTCGCATGGTTCGCCTTCAAACTCCAATTAACACCTATTGTTCTTTGTCGTATTGGACATTGTTTACTTGATCGCGTTGATACGACATCCGGGCAGGGAGGAGCATCTCAACGCTATTCCACTATATAACAGTCGAGCTATCATAACATAAAATGTCATCGTTATTGTCAGGTTTCCTCGCTCGCGGTGAGCTTGCAATCCTTGCGGACTTCCTACCCGACAGACAGTCGATTAAAACGAAGCGGTGGTGGGGCCTGGAAGATAGTCAATGCCTCGTGGTCTGGTCGCCTTTCAGTGTCGGCTGTTCTTCTCGTCCGGGATGATTCCTTCGACTCTTTCGTAGTTTCTCTGCTTCTTGACGTCTCTAGTTTCTGTGTTTGTTGACGTCTCTAGTTTTTCTGCTTCTTGTCGCCAGTCATCGAGTATTGTGATTCGTATTTATATCGAAAGTCGGAGACTTTCTTTAGTTTTGTTTCGACCTGAGTCTTCGAACTGTAACTCGTAACCTCTATTGTTTCGCGTGTATTCTATTGTACTGAGCATTTATTATCGTTGCGTAGATTTGCGTATTTCATCGCCAAGAATAGAATCTACGATAAAAATTTTAATTGGATAATCTTCAGACTTATTACATTTTGATTCGTTCAATAATCTGTTAGATTATTTTACTTGAGCAATGAGAGTGGGCAAATTGATAGTGTTGATTTATTTGCGCTCGCCTTCGTATCATTTGTAGTAAGAGGTGAACCATTTAAAAGCATAAACGTTGCTGTGGAAAGTATAGGTGTGCTCGTGGCACCGAACTCATTATTTCTTTGGAAGTTGATCCGGGATTTATCGTTTCGGTGTAAATACTGTCGACAAGAGCGGACATTGATCAAGAAGACTTGAATTGGCCACGTGTTTCGACGCTGTAAGTAGCCTGTCTCTCGGTTCATCGAAGAATTAATATGAATTTAATTTCGCGATTAAAAATTCCCTGTAATTTATAATAGGAATAATTATTTCTTATTTCTGTAATAAAAATAATTAAGAAATAAATTACAGTGAATTTAGAATCGCGAAGTAGAAATAATTTATTTGTTTAGGTAATAATTAATTTACTTTATATGTGATAGATATAATTTATAATAGAAAGCTGTGTTAATCCGATTTGCGTCGCATTTGTGCTCATTGCTTGGTTCCCTAAAGAATAAACGTAGTAAAATATAGCCTGTATCCACCTGGAGGAAATTTACTTTTACAAATGTATATAATAATTTCTGAGATTACCTCAAACACAGACATACTTACGTACAGGTACAAATATTTACATTTTATATTATTAATATAGACCTGTAATCGAATTAGATTACGATGGACGCGATTACGTATCTGTTTATTCAGTATTCCGTTCGATTACCTTTAATATTCTTTTATTTTTCGCAGACAGATGTCGTGAAAACTGGAAACAATTTCTACGAATAGCAAAGTTTTGTTTGATTAAATTTGCAAATTTTTTCGCTTCATCAGTATCCTGTTTCGAATGCCGGAGTCTCATGAATTTTTCAAATCAACTAGCCAAGTGATGTTATTTCAGCAGTTTTGACACAAAGATAATACAATATCAGAAGGAACCGCGATTAAGATTTTGATGACATTGCTTATTCACAGCTGTAGATAATTTAAAAAAACAAATATTTCATTTCGTCTACATCTATATTTCACATAAAAGCAATTCTTAAAATTATAACCTGAATGTAAATTGAATATGATAAACAGTCCAGCTAGAAATTCAAAGAACTATTCGCATTAATTAATCGTAACTCAAGACGCAGAAATGATCCACGCGATACAGGTTGATTCGATACCCAAGTTGCATGCTATATCGTGGATTGTCCCACCGTGAAGCACAAAACATCGTGATAATATGTAACGAAGGATTGTTGTCAATAATGCTCGATTGTGTAATATCAATAGAAGAGCAGAACCCATGCAAAAGTAGATAACAGGACTATGTCACTTGAGCATGTGTTATTAGGCACTCTGTATGAGAACAAAGATATTATGAAAACACGTCGCGATTTCAATACTGTAGCTTATTACGTACGAGTATACTTCCTGTGAGAATGCGCTTGTGGAATGAATCATATGCGGGAATCTGATCGCTGAGAAAGGCACAAAAAATATACGACATTAAATGTTATTGCTTTCATTCTTTTCTAGTAAGCCGAGCTAGTCGTGAACAAATAATGGATCACTGTGCTTGTGAATTAATCAAAAGATATATCGTTATCGAAGAAATTATGCTAACATAGTAGTCAGTAATATATTTATAATAGTTTAGTTATTAT